TCTATACCTATTTTCTTCAAGGTGGTTTATCATAAAGGGATGTTAGGTTTTTGTTGAAAGCTTTTTCTGAATCAATTAAGAGATAATGTGACTTTTGTCTTTAGTTCTGTTCATAATGTGTATTCTAATTATTTATATATATTAAGTCATCCTTGCATTCTTGATAAACCAGTGTGGCCATGATATATGATCTTTTTAGTATGTTGCTTAATTCTATTTGCAAGAATTTTATTGATGATTTTGCATCTATTTAAAATATTGGTGTGTAGATTTCTTTTTCTTGAGTACTTATCTAATATTGGTCTCAGGGTAATGCTGGTTTTGTAAAATGAGTTTGGAACCATGCTTTACTTTTGTGCTTGTAGAAAAATGTAAGGAGTTCTTCTGTAAGTTCTGGTATAGTTAAATGGTAAATCCAATAGTTGCAGGAATATTTTTAGTTTGTAGAGATTTTACTACTATTTTAATCCCATTATTTATTATTGATCTGTTTAGGTATTTTATATATTTTTGGTCCAAATTTGGTAGGTCATGTGTATCTAGGAATTTATCCACTCCTCCTGTATTCTCCACTTTATTGGATTATAAGTTTTGAAAGTAATTTCCAGTAATCATTGGATTTCATTAGTGCCTGTTATGACCTTGTTTAAATTTTATTAATTTGGATCTCTTTTCTTTAAGTAAGTTAAAGTTTTATCAAATTTGTTTGTCTATTGCCATTTTTCCCCAGGAATTCAGTAGAAAAGATTATAATGATTTATATTGAATACTTTGAAATACATTTTTTAAAAAAAGCTTTCAATGTAAGTGAAGATGCAAGTATTTTATGTATTTTAAATTAATAGATAAATCTTTATAACTATTTCATTTTTTCTTATTGTGTAGTTATATTATTGCTTCAAAAACTAAACAAAACAGATGCAATATTTATAGTTGTTTCAAGTTCAATGTTAATAGAACTGACTGATGATTCCTTGCCCTAAAGAGTGATTGGCTGCCGTGATCAAAGACTCCAATCCTCACTAACTTGTTTATCTTTTGACATAATATTTACAAATCCCTCAGGGTTGAAAGCTGAAAATAATCCATAATATTTTTATAGGAACAGCTATTGAATCTCAGTAATGTTAAAGTAATTCTATATAAAATATGTTATAATTTCCTTTTGAAGAGATTTCAAGGGTGGGATTCTTAGCCCATCATTCCCTAAAAAGAATCAGGTGACTTTATTTTTATCTATTTATTTTGAAATTCAGTTTTGACATACATCGTGTATGTTTATGAGGCAAAGTGTTATGCTTTGATCTATGTGTATATATTGTGACAATATTCATTAAAGCCAATTAACATATCTATCACTTTGTCAACTTTGTGATAAGGATATTAAAAATCAACTCAGCAATTTAAAAATATGATACCTGATTACGGCCTGTAATCATGTAATTCAATAAACCACTAAAACTATTCCTCCATTATTATTTCAATTTTATATTTATGATGATTAATTTTGATTGTCAACTTGCTTGGCTTGAGAAATGTCTATCAGATTTAACTTCTGGGCGAATTGATGTGGTCATGGGGATAGGCCTGACCTTGGGGACTAGACTTAGTTCCTGAGCTCTTCCTCTTTGGCTCTTCTCCTCTCTGCTTCCTGGATTCCATGAGATGGGTAGCTTCTCTCCACCATGCTCTCTTCCATGACATTTCATCCTTAGAGGCAGTCAAGTAAGACCTTTGAAACCATAAGCCAGATGAAACTTTTTCTTATTTATATTGTGTATGTTTGGAACTTTTTCTCAACAATAGAAAAGTTACTAACGTAGTTACCTTTTGATCAACATCTACTCTTTTCTCACCTCTGTCCCTACTTTTGGAAATCATCATCTTTCTACTCTATGTTTATATATGATTAGCTATTTAAAAATTCATATATAAGTGAGATCATGTGCTATTTGTATTTCTGTGCCTGGCTTTAGGCAGGTGGTGACTGTGCCATGCTTATTTCACTTAGCATAATGTCATTCAGTTCCACTCATATTGTCATAAATGATAGCATTCATTCACTCAACATGCATGCATATTTCAAGGCTATACAATATTTTTTGTGTCCATGTATCTCATTTTCTTTATCTACTCTTCCAGAATGATGGACTTTTAGGTTATTTTCACATAAGAACTATTGTAAATAATGCTTCAATGAACATAGGAGGACACATATCCTTTCCACATACCAATGTCATTTCTTTTGGCCATGCACCCAGAAGTGGGATTGCTGGAACACACGGTTTTCAGGAAACCTGTATACTTTTTTCCAAAATGGCCATACTAGCTGGGCCTGGTGGTGCACCTTTGTAATCTCAGCATTTGGGAAGTTGAGGTCAAAGGATCACCTCAAATTCTAGTCCAGACTGGGCTTCATAGTGTGCTCAAAGCCAGCCTGAAGTACATGGTAAGACCCATCTCAAAGAAACAAAAACAAAACAAAACAAAACAGAAAAACCAAATGAAAGTGGCCTTATTAATTTGTTTA